TATGGTTAATTACCATGTTTGTCTATTATTAGATAGGACTAGAGGCCTGGTGCATGATATTTGTGCACTGGAGAGGGGAAGTCCCTCAGCCCAGCCTGTGCCCGCTTGCAGTCCAGGACCCCTCGGGCTTAGGCAGACAGATATCCCCTGAGAGGACCTTAGTGCTGCTGCAGAGGCAGGAGAGGCTCCCGCCACCGCTGCTGTGCTCGCCAGCCGTGAGCCCGGCTTCTGGCTGAGCAGCGCTCTCCCTGTGAGAGCACACTGACCACTAAGGGGCAGTTCCTGCATTGAGTGTCTGGCCCCTGCTGGTCAGTGTGTGTCATAGCGACCAGTCATTCTGCTGTTTAGGCAATTTGCATATTAGCCTTTTATTATATAGGATAGATAGATTCCAAATAAAGTTAAACATAAACTTAGAATGTCAGTAACAAATAGATTAAATACCAGTAGGAAAGCGGTCAATTCTCAAAGATACATAAATGGCCAATGTATATTTGGAAGATGTTCACTTTAATGCAAAATAAAACATTTCCACCTATCAGACTGAAAAAGGCTAAAAGGGAAAGTTGCTGAACATACGGGAAAGTGGGTCCCCACTGATGCTGCTGAAGGAAGGAAGGTAAACTGGTGTAATTTGTGTGTGTGAACAGGGTTAGGGGGAGGCAGCTTGTACACATATGTTGCAGAACCTTAGGGTACTGCCAGTCATTAAACATTCTTTATACAAGCCCTTTCATTTCCCCCAAGTCTCAGAGGGGCATATATTTAACAAACAGGTTTTATTTAAATTTGACCTGCGCTGGAACCTAAAATTAAAGGATTTATTTTCTTCTATTTGGTTGGGTTGAATTTCCTGGCATTCTCTGTTTACCAAAAATAAATGCAGGTGCACCTGTCAAAATTAGTATTTGAATGCAGGTTGGCTTAGTTTCCAAACATAAGACTTCTAAATCCTCTCATGCTTTGCGGAAGAGAAAGAGGAAAGAAGGAAGACAAAAGCAGAGAGAAATTCAAATTTCCCATTTGGACTTTACCATGTCGAAAGTGACTGAGCCCTTTGTGTGTCATAACTAGCTTTTCTTATTAGAAGTTGCTGCCACTGAAGGTGACTTCACTACTAAACCAACGTAGAAATAGTTTCTCTTGGCTTAGATGTTTGCTCTCATTAAAGTGACCTCTGCTGTTACCAAGGCTATGAAATTGCTATAGCAACCACATTTAAGATAGATTATAATGAATAAAATTGGACAAAGAGGAAGACGAAAGAGGGCTGTTCCCCAAATTCAGTAAAATGACTCTAGATTGCTTTTTAAAAATGAAGTACTCAGCCCTAGCCAGCTTGGCTCAGTGGATAAAGCGTCAGCCTGCGGACTGAGGGGTCCCAGGTTCGATTCCGGCCAAGGGCACATGCCTGGGTTGCGGGCTCGATCCCCAGTAGCGGGGTGTGCAGGAGGCAGCCGATCAGTGATTCTCTCTCATCATTGGTGTTTCTATCTCTCTCTCCCTCTCCCTTCCTCTCTGAAATCAATAAAGAAATATATTTAAATAAATAAATAAATAGATAAAATGTAAGTACTCATTTTTTAACTAATAGAAACAAATGTGCGTTAGGCATTTCATACCCCCAACGAGGTCTTTAAAATTAGTGTAGGTTTTCATATGAGACAACAGAACCATATAACTATAATAACAATCATAAAGATGGCTGACATTTACTGATGTGTGCTATGTGCCAGACACTATTCTAAGCCCATTACATGTATACATACATTTATGCCAGTGTTTAATCCTAATAACTTGATGGGGATTAAACCCCATAACAGTTACTATTATACCCATCCTGCAGGTGACGAACCTGAGGCATGGGAAACTAAGTGACTATCATAAGATCCTCAGATAGTAAGTGATAGAACCAGAAAGCAAAAAAAGTTGTAATTTTGACTTAGGAATTTGCTGATACACTACAAATAGAAGGGGCTACCGAAGTTGATGTGTAAATCCTGTTAAAAACAATGTACAAGTCCATCTATTTTTCTATGATAATATGTATTATGGATTTGTTCACTTGGGTTTATAGAAGAAAATCTCTTTAAATTTATCTTGTATTAGTAACCTCCTTTTCCTCCCACTTTTCCCTTGTAAATCCCAGAGTTAAACGTTCAGTTTAGCGTAATGGACACATTTCAAATATAATTATCTTCAACCAATGTCGTTTTCCTGGAAAAGTAATATGCTTTGCCTTATTGGTTACTTTTCCTAATGGCAAAAAAGCAACTATTTTAATTAGTTCCGGTGTTTTATAGAGAGCAAAGAACTTTGAAAAAAGAATAGAAGTTTCTGTTTTGGATGCACCAGGAAACAGGATGTAGCCTAAATCTGGGGAGACTTTTATAGATCTCTGAGTCCATAATTAACTTGACCCCTAACTTTAAGGTTTTTCCGGTATTGTACTTTATATCTAACGCAGATTCTGTTCTACCAATAACAACTTCTGTTTATATTAAAATCAATTTTCCTCAAATAATATTTAGGAAAGACTAGATTTATATAGTATCCTTAGGAACATGCACAGGTATATGTCGCCCTCCATAACATCTTTTTTAAAAAAAGTTATCAATATATCAGGATCATAAACACTTATTTTGACGCCCAGTAATTGTCATCGAATACAAGCTTTTCAGTCACTTTCAACCACCAATTAGCCAGTGTATTTCTTAAAACCAGCATCTTCAAGTAAAGAATGCCCTAACCTACCCCTTCATTTGTAAACAGTATCCTCCCAGGTGATCACATTCAAATTGAAGCAGTCTCCATATGCCTTGGGGACATTTGTATGTTTATTATCCAAGACTCAGGGACTGTGTTGTGTGCTGAGATGCCCATGTAAATGCTTCTATAGTGCCTGAGATTGCAGCGGTTGAGGAAGCGAGTAAAGTGTGAGTGATTTTTCATTTAAAAGAATAGGGTAAAAGCATTAACATTTTCAAACATACTCTCAATTTTACAAGCATTCTCTTTAGACATTACCTTCTTTCAGCCTTGGAAGCTCAGAGCAGCAAAATTATTATTATTTTTTTTTTTTAGAATAGATAAAAAAATGTAAGGGGTCAATATCCACTTATTTTATTGTTCCCCACTTCCCTGTGTCCCATTTCTTTTTATTCTCTTCCATTAGAGCCTGATGGATAGATAGGTTTTGTGTCTAGAAAATGTTCAGATCTAAATCAAAATTAGTACTCAGTGGCTTTTCTTTCCACTGTAAGACTGAATATACAGTAATCGAAAGGAAGAGGTGGCGGGAAACACTGGTGCTGCATTCATGGTAAATCTCACCTGACATCAGAAACTCCTCCCTCTCTACAGGTGTGATATTTCCTTTTCTCTCCCTTCTCTGTGCACTAAGGACTAATTAAGGAACGAGGCTTGAGGAAGAAACTCACCATTTGGGGAGAAAGAGCTGCTGCTTGCCCAGTGAAAAACCTGTTTCAGGCCAGCCGCTCAACAGCAGGTAAGCATTTATTAATGAAAACCCAGGTTTTAATTAATACATTTTAACTAAATGTATTAATTACATTTAAGTATCAAATCATTGATTTTAATGCAAGAATAAATGGGGAAACAGAACGAGGAGAGATGAAATTCAAAAGTGTATAGGGAGAATAAATTTAATTAGATTCGGAGGAAAAGATGTTTTTCGGGTGTTTTTGTTTTTTTACTTTTAAATTTTGATACGGGGGAAATAAGCACTATGAAATATAGAAGTTTTTGCAAACACATAAGCAGGAATCTTCCTGAACAGATAAGACAGGAATCTTCCTGACTTATCTGACAGGAATCTTTCTAAACAGAAAAACCTATCATCTGAAAAAATAATGACTATTTTATTACAAAAGGTGTGTTACTCCATAAACATAGGGACCTTCTGTTTTATTTATTTGTGAGAATTAGAAGTGTCCCAGGAGAGTACCGTGCTTTTATTGTCTAGTTAATATGAATAAAATACTTTAGGTGCCGCAAAGAAACTTCAGTTTCTAAAAGTTATATGAGCATGATAATTTCCTCACAAAGACTTCACTTAGTGACTCTGTTGATAAGAGTTTGGCTAAGGGATTTACAAACATTTACCTTCCAATTCTGGGCCCCATATTAATTATGGAAACTTTATAATTGAGTGGTGAGGATATGATATCCCGATCTTGTAGCTTTCAGAGGTAATAGTTGTCACTATGACTTTCGGATATAATCCAATAATGTGTAAAAAAATTTTTCTGCACCTATGAGAATTTCTGTATGTTCTTGTGGCCTTTAAAAGCTATCTTTTTAGCCCTGGCCAGTGTTGCTCAGTGATTGGAGTATCAGCCCACACACACAGAAGGGTCTGGGGTTCAATTCCTGGTCAAGGGCATGTGCCTGGGTTGCACGTTTGATCCCTGGCCCCCAGTCGGGGTGGGGAGGCAACTGGTTGAAGTCTCTCTCACATCGATCTTTATCCCTCTCTTTCTCTCCCCGCCCTCCCCCCCTTTCACTCTCTCTAAAAATCAATGGAAAAAATATCCTCGGATGAGGATTAACAAAAAAAAATTTAATTTTTAAAAAACTATCTTTTCATTTAATAAAAGAAATATTCTTATGAAGTTCATCACTGTTTACTGAAAGGATATTTTCTAATGTTGTTCATTAATCATAGTATCTTCTTTCTATGTGAACCCCTGGGAGAAATGTCCCTGATTTTAATGTCATCCTGAATCATTTGTTTGTGAGTTGAAATAGCTGCTTAGTCTAGAAAAGTAGACTAAAGACAGATCAAGAAGGGTTTTGAATATTTAGAAGCTAGAGAGCTGGACCTCATTTAGAGATGGCACAAGTGAACAGTCAAGCAAATGCTGTGGTAAAGACCAGAAGGATAATTCTATGGGAAAGTGAATCATGTAACTACCCATCTTCCTTTCTCTTGGTATTGGCCGCCAGAAAGTTTAGAGTAAGAAAATGGGCTTTGAACCGCAGGTTCAGACATTTCGTGTATGTGCTTGGCTGAGGAGCCAATGGGGCGAAGCTACCATCTGTGGGATTATGTCTGAGCGCCTCTAAGTCAGAATCCCGCCCAGGCGGAACGATACAGCAGCGCCGCGGAAGCCTCGGTTGGCCTCGGATAGCCGGTCCCGGTCCCCGGTCCCCGCCGGCAGGACTGGGGGTCCGGTGCGGAGAGCCCTTCGTCCTGGGAAACGGGGTGTGGCCGGAAAGGGGGCCGCCCCCACGCCCTTCACACAACGCACATTCGTGGGGAACCTGGCACCTGCTTCTGGGTCGGGGAACGTAGCAGAGCAGCTCCCTCGCTGCGATCTATTGAAAGTCAGTCCTCGACACAGGGTTTGTAAAAAAAAAATAATAAAAAATAAAAAAAATAAAATAAAATGGGCTTTCACCTCCTGCAAGTAGTTAATTCTCATTCTCCACAGTCCTTGAGTTCAATAAAGTCAAAGGCAACAATACTGTCTCGGCGAATTTTGAACCAATGGTCCTAGGGAAAACACAGACAAGGTTAGGTTCCTACAAAACTCTGGTCCCAACGTCCACATCAGCAGATCAACAGGTAACATTGTTTTATGTCTATTTCTGTTTAAAGGCATGTGATTTAATATGGATTGTTGATTCATTATCATTGAACTCACAGTCAGGAGCTTTATCACTCATGCCTGAAGGAAGCTTCTCTAATACACGTATCTTCTCCATAAGACACATTACAGCCTTTTTGCACGTAGGCACACTAACCAGCACTTCAGCCCTATACTTGGGGTCCATTTTATTTTATGTTTTTCATTTTTAAAAATTGATTTTAGAGAGAGAGGAAGGGTGAGGGGGGGAGAGAGAGAGAAACATGGATGTGAGAAAGAAACATATATTGGTGGCCTCCCATAAGGCATCCTGACCAGGAATCAAACCCACAACTTGAGCATGTGTCCTGACCAGCAATCGAGCCCATGACCCTTTAGTGCACGGGGATGACGTTCCAACCAACTGAGTCACACTGGTCAGGGCACAGGGGCCTTTTTAAACAGTGAAATCACCAACAAAAAAGCAAAAAAAAAAAAGCAAAGAAAAGAAAACATTGGCACTCAATAGACACATAAAAGACTTTTTTACAGCATGAGAGCTGGAACAAAAAGTCACCTTCTTCAACTTTACCTGAAAATGTGGGTTATTAGGTGACTCAAATGTGTTACTGCTCTGCACAATTGACTGCAAAAGCACTGTCCGTATTGATGTGGGGGGTACACATACATGAGCAAGCAGGTGAATTTACAAACACGGAATCCACATGTAAAAAGGATCAACTCTACGTGTAGGGCTCCTTCTCCATATGCTTTGCCTGCTGACCTCTCTCTTGACTGACTCCATGTTACTTTATTTTTAATACGTTTTTTAAAATATATTTTTATTGATTTCAGAGAGGAAGGGAGAGGGAGAGAGAGATAGAAACATCAATGATGAGAAAGGATCACTGATCGGCTGCCTCCTGCACATCCCTCACTGGGGTCAGCCCGCAACCCAGGCATGTACCCCTGACTGGAATCAAACCAGGAACCCTTCAGTCCGTAGACCGACGCTCTATCCACTGAGCCAAACCGGCTAGGGCTTGAATATGTTTTCATTGATTTTTAGAGAGAGAGGAAGGGAAAAGGATAGAGAGAAACATTGATGAGAAACATTATCGGTCGGCTGCCTCCTGCATGCCCCATACTGGGGCTCTAACCCCCAACCCAGGCATGTGCCCTGACTGGGAATTGAACCAGTGACCTTTCGGTTCATGGGTGGATGCTCAGACACTAAACAACACCAGCTTGGCATTCATGTTACTTTGGTACCTCTGTTTTCTCCCTTGCCTGAATTTTATTTTATATTTTACCGATGCTTAGAAGTGGTTTTAGATCAGCGGTTCTCAACCTGTGGGTCACAATCCCTTTGCGGTCGAACGACCCTTTCACAGGGGTCGCCTAAGGCTATCCTGTATATCAGATATTTACACTATGATTCATAAGAGTAGCAATATTACAGTTATGAAGGAGCAACGAAAATAATTTTATGTGCCCTAACCGGTTTGGCTCAGTGGATAGAGCGTCAGCCTGCGGACTGAAAGGTCGCAGGTTCGATTCCAGTCAAGGGCATGTACCTAGGTTGCGTGCACATCCTCAGTAGGGGGTGTGCAGGAGGCAGCTGGTTGATGTTTCTCTCTCATCGATGTTTCTAACTCTCTATCCCTCTCCCTTCCTCTCTGTAAAAAATCAACAAAATATATATTTTTTTAAAAAGTAATAATTTTATGGTTGGGTCACAACATGAGGAACTGTATTTAAAGGTCCAGAAGGTTGAGAACCACTGTTTTAGATCCTTTGGGGAACAAACCAGGCAAAGAGTAAGCTTAGGATTCCTCCTCTTTGCACTAGCTACTGTGCTGTATATTGGGATATAAAAGGATCTCTACACATCAAACCTAATAAGAGATACATGATCAACTTCCCTGTGAAATGTTATTTCATTTTCTCCCAAAAGGCCTCGAATTGAAATATATTAATGTGTTTAATGAAGAAGTTAAAGTTTTATTTAGAGGTGACACAAGGGAGTGAAAAAGTGAGCAGATACAAGGGTGAGGAGATAGTGGCTACACTTCTTTCTTTGTTCAACCTGAACTCTGGAAACTTGATTTTTTTCAAAGTTTCTAATATGGCCCAGACTATTATCTGATGCTGCCTGGACCCTTCGTTCTCTTCGGACTCCGACAGAGAATGCAAACACCTCACGTGCCCACTCACTGACCTGGAGCCGGCTCAGTCATCAGAAACATGCCTCTTCGCAGCTCAGAGTCTCGTAAACAACATGACAGGGTTTTATACAGTGGATTGAAGTAAATCACCATCGAACACTCTGAGTACCTTATGGCCACACAGAGATGCCCCGTGGGAAATGTGTTGCGAAGGAATAATCCACCACAATCCCAGAAGACCCTGGTTCCCAAGTCTCCTGAGCTTTCTTTGCCTTCCGAGTGCCTGGCTGTGAAGATGAGGTGCAAAAGTTCTGCTACATCTATAATAATAAAAGTGTAATATGCTAATGAGACCCGACAGCCGAACAGCGGAACGACCATCCAGACGACCTTCCAGACGACCTTCCAGGCAAAGCCAGGGCTGCGAGGGCCAAGCCCCTTGCACAAATTTCATGCATTGGGCCTCTAGTTGCATATAAAATATAAATATATGTTATATCTTTAATCTAGTCAAGACCTGACTGGAATGTTGAGGGAAAAGTTTTCTTGGGGCAAAAGAGCAGGAGATTGGAGCCCCCAAATCTAAAAATTATAATTGCATCAGAATGGGTAAAGCTGTATACATTATTTATAGGCTTTTCTGGTTGTTATTGTTCCTTAATTTTATCTGACTGAAAGGAGCCTTTGCTCACACAGGAGTCTTCATCTGCAATCTAGCTGTTCCTCTCCAAATTGTTCCTCATAACCACCTGATAGCTGAGCCCCTCGGGTCTTTGTACCCCATTGTGAAGAGTCTTACCCTGAGCTTCACATCAGCCATTCAACAACTCCTTGGAATGTCCCTTACTATGTGCCGGGCCCCGTGGTAGGTGCTGGGGAGACGGCGCAGCCCAAAGCAGACCTGGTCCCTTCCTTCATGTATCTCACAGTCTACTTGAGAAAGACTTCAATCAAAAGAAACACACATACATGTAAATTTACAACTGCTATTGTATCCTGAAGGAGGCGTTCAGAGTTCTATGCATGTGTAAATGATGAAGGCTTTACCCAGTGGAGATACATCCTTCCAGAATCAGGTCATTAACACTTTCCATTTCTAGGTGTTCTCTGATTTACCCATCCCAGGGCCTCCCTCACCTCCTCCTTCCCTCTTCAGGGGGAGCAATGGTATTCAGAATCACAGCCAGGGAAAACAGGGTTTCCAGGATGCTCCTAGGTGGATTCATTGCTAACAGGCAAAAGTGAAATGTATACCTTCACGTTTCTACTAGGTGTGGAGCTGCTGGAGCTCTGGAGAAGATGCTGGTGCTAAACTGTGCTACCAAATTACTGACCCTGGAAAAAGTGCTGAAGAGTCACTTTCCCGAATCACTCAAGGTACTGTGCCTTTGAGTTTTGTTTTATTGCTCTATTGTCTTGATCTGTGGAAATAATGTCCAACTGGTGGCTGTTTCCCACAGTTTCCAGTGATAAGACTCTGGGGCACTTGTTAAATACACAGCTCCCGCTCCCCACTTGCTAGAGACGGAGTCAATGGTTGTGGGTATGACCCAGATAATTATATTCCTGACAGTCACTTTAGACGACTCCCAGGAAAATTTAATTCATGCTGGACTGGATTGTTTTTTAAGGTAAATTTGAGTTCTAAATGTTTTTAAATGGCCAACGGGTATGGACTGGTTGGCATTACTGGTAAGAATGTGTACTAGGTACACAGTGGAACTGAAGTTTAGGAGTTGTTATAAATTCCTTTCCTGTTTATTTCAAAAGCTTTATTTTTGGAGTATTTTCAGTGGTTTTCTTGGTCATCTGGCCGGTGTTGCTAAGTGGTTAGAGCATTGACTGCACACCAAGGGCCGTGGGTTTGATTCCTGGTCAAGGACATGTACCTGGGTTGCAGGTTTGATCTCCAGCCCTGGTCGGGGTGGGTGTGGAAGGCAACCAATCTATGTGAGAGACACGCTGATGTCTCTCTCCCTCTCTTCCTTCCTCCCTTCCACTTTCTTGGGAAAAATATCCTTGGGTGAGGATTTCAAAAAAAAAGCGCACATACTGTACATACTTACACAGCTCAGTGAATTTTCACAAAGCGATTACCTGAATAACCTCCACTCCAAGAAAGAACATGATTTGAGAGGCTGCCCCTCCCACCATCAGTGCTCCTCTTCAATCCTACCTTTCCCCGCTCCCCCAAAGTAACCACTATCCTGACTTCTAAAGCCATCATTTAGTTTTGCATGTTTTTTAATATACATTGGATCACAGAGGAAGTATCTTTACCACCACACTTTTTCTACTCTAGAAGCACACAGAACATATGAGAGTTGTTTTGTAGGACAGACATCTTTGATTTTTAGTGGAGAAAAAAATGTGAAAGGCCACAGAGAATTCCAATATTATTAT